CCGTCTCTGTCATCTATAAATTATTGGTTCCTTCAGCACTCTCACTCTGGTCTTTGCTCTTTTTTGTACACTATTTTCTGAGCATCTCTCTTAAAACATAACCACAAGGGATGAACACATTACTATAGATATGGCCAGCATAGTACATTACTTGGGCTTTATGCAGGTAAATACCACCTAAGAGAAACCTCTGGGAATGAGCTATTAATACTATTAATAAGCCTTTTTTTCTTCTTCTCTAGAGACCGAAGGATTTCCTGTAACATCTCTAAAATAAAATAAAAAAGAGAGTGGGGGGAAATCCAATGTAATTTGCCTCTTCCATGGATGATACTGTGTCAGTTACCTAATGCTCTGTAACAACCACCCCCAGAACATGGTGGTTAAATCAACAAACCTTTTATCTGCTCATGATTCTGTGCATCAGCAATTTGGACTGCACCACTCTCTTCATGTGGTGTCTAATCCTCAAGGAAGTCAGCTCAGGCTCCCACATGAGATCTCAGAGCAGTTACGGAGAAAAGTGTAACTGCATGTCCTTGGGCTAGAAATTCTTAAGTGTTGAGAATAAAGTTCAGAAAGTCCTTACTTAAGCTGCTGACAGGTTCTGCACTATTAAGCAAAAGAATGTTTAAACAAGTTAAGTTCCTACAGCATCTCATCAATGTTTTAACAAAACAGACATTGAACTAAACCATACTGAGGACCTGCCTTCTTGGAGCTTTTAATACAGAAGCTGTGAAGTGAATAAATAATTCCAAGTGTAATATGTTTTATGTACAGGGGCTGTATTTCTTTCTTTAAAAAAGTTATTATTTACGTACAATAACAATTTTGGTGTAGTCCTACCAGTTTTGACAACCACCACCACAATCAAGATACAGAAAGTCCCACCACCTCAAAAAATACCATGTTCCTCCTTTGTAGTCAGCCCTTTTTATTGTCAATCTCTGGCAACCACTCCTATAGTTTCCATTCCTATAGTTTTGCATTTTCCAGAATGTCATATAAATAAAATCACAGTATGGAATCTTTTGAGACTGATTTCTTTCACTCATCATAATATCTAGATTCACACAAGTGTAGTATGTATTACTCGCTTGTGTGGTTTTTTTTTAAGGCTGAATAGTATCACTGTATGGAGATACCAGTTTGTTTATCCACCCACCAATTTAAATGAATTAGGGGTTTCCAGTTTTAGGAAATTATTAAATTATATAAATATTATTATACAGATTTTTGTGTGAACATGTCTTCCATTCACCTGGTTAAATATCTAGGAATGAGATAAGTGTACATTTATCTTTATATGAAACTGCCAAACTCTTTTTCACTATGGTCTTTTATGCATCTCTGCCATCCATGTCTGAGAGTTCTAGTTGCATTCTCACCAGCACTTGATACTATTTTTTAAAAAAGATTCTAATAAGTGTGTAGTGGTCTCATTTGGTTTATTATGCATTTCCATAATGATTAATTATGTTGAGCATCATATACTGAATTTGGTAAAATATCTGTTTAAATTTTTTGCCCATATTTTTATTAGGTTGTTTTATTGAGTTCTGACACTTCTGTGCACGTTCTGAATACAGGTCCTTTGTCAAACGTGATTTGCAAATATTTTGTGGTTTTTTAAATTTTTTTAACAGTGTCTTTCGAAGAGAAGTTTTCAATTTTGATGAAGTACAAATTATCAATTTTTGCTTACTTTTGTTGTAGCTGAGAACTCTTTGGCTAATCTAAGACCACAAAGATCCCCCCCCCCCATGATATGTGTTACATTTAAGTCTCTGATGCATTTGGAATTTTTAAGGTTAATTTTATTGGCATTTAGGCATGTAATTGTTCAGAACCATTTGTTTAAAAAAATCATCCTTTATTTATTAAATCACCTTTGATTACTATATTTTTAAAGTAATTCTTAAAATCAGGAGGTTTAAGTCCAACTTTGTTCTTTTCAAAATTGTTTGGACTAGTCTAGTTTCTTTGCCTTTCAGTACAAGTTTTAGGATGCACTTGTTATCTACAGGAAAGTCCTCCTGGGTTTTGATTTGGATTTCGCTAAATCTGTAGATCAGTTCAGGGAGAACTGATAGAAGGATGAGTTCTCTTTTGGGGTTTTAGATGCTCATGCTACCACAGCTACAGTGCAGTGCCTTGACTAGGGGCCATCCTCAGAGCAGGAGTGGAAAAAACAGAAAATGGAAAAAAAATGACCAAAACGGGCTATTCACATAAAATGTCCATACTTTTAGAAACAGCCAGATTACTATTGCTCTGGTGGCTGAACTGGTTCAGTTTGCTTTGCGATTAGAACAAGTTACTCAGCTTCCCTGCACTTCAGATTAGGAAATGATATATGAACAGATGGAATCAGAGGGACACATGGAGAGACATTTAAAATAATCAGACTATCTTCTGTAGAATGATGTATTTTTCTTTCAAAAGCAGAAAGACAATGGAAGAGTAAACTGGGAAAGTAAATGAGAGTAGAAATAGAACTTTCTAAGAAAAATTATGAAAAGGTAAAACCGATTTTGATAAATAGTGCTGAAGTTTTAAGAAAACTGTGGGGAGCCCTATAATTGTTTCAGGAGTTTGGACTCATAGCTGAATGGGGCACAGTAAGGAATGGCTAGAGTCCTTAGTTTAAGTTGCTTTGAGCTGGGAAATGGGAGTTGTAAAGCACTAACGGTTAAAATCAGGAGGTTTGTAGAAAGGATGTTTCCAAAGAAATATTATTAAAAAGAAAGTAAGATTTATTTGTTTCATGTTAACCCATGTCAGCATTCAGCTTTCTCTCCTGACACAAGAAGGCAAGAGCAATGACGGAACCAGAATAAAGATATTACCTCAATTAATTTTTCCCAACTTCAGAAATTAGCAGTATAAATTAAAAGCCACTTCAAAATATGATAGAGTAGGTAACTGATATTAAGCTAAGTAGGAAAAAAAAGTGCTCCCTAGAGAAAAATTTATTAAGAACCTAGTTACAAGTCAGGGATAAAATAAAAACTAAAAAGCACCTGAATAATTCAGTATTTAATTAACTAACACTTATTAAACACACAACCAATGATCTAGTACAAGCAGGAAAATCAATTCATGTTGCAAATCAAAAACTGCCCTGTTCCTTGACATTGGATCTTCATTGAATCAAGCTTTTCCACCCACAATTCCTAGTCCAAGAACCCACCAGAGAAGGGTGAAGAGAGAAGTTGAAGAAAAATTTACATATTGCATGAAGTAAAATGGGGAAAACATCTTTACGAATCTTGGTAATTTATTATTTTCAAAAGGAAGACCTTACTTTTAAAGAAAACCACCTGTTTTCCTGATCCTGATTACCAAGTCACTGACCTGCACACAAGAATTAACACTGTAGCATGTAATTCATTATCTTATCAGAATGAAACCAGTACATTGGGAAACCATGGAATGTGGCTGGAAGAGTAACTTGTAGATATACACATTCCCGTATACTGATATAAGTTGAAAACATATGGTCCTTTCTCTAAAGGGAATTTTTATTTTCCTAGGCTTCAATTAAATATATTTCCCTCTATACAATTTCCACAGCAGTTTCTCTAGTTTCCCCAAAAAAGTTCTTTTTGGAGTCTGATTTGACCAATTTATCAAATGTCATTCTAATTAGAAAACAGACATGAAATGTACTAGGAGGAACCTTTTTCCAACTGAAATACTACACCATAATTTTTGTTACTGGAAATAAATGACATTTACCCATTTCCATGTTTTTCCCTAATGTGTTTTTGCTACCTCCAAATCAACCCATACCTTCTTTAGTAAAAACATTAGTCTACAAGGATGGTATATGTAATCCCCATTTCACAAGTACGACACAGTATGAAACTGATTATAATGGCTTCAAAGTACTGATTGCTTAGCGCTACACTAGGTCTACTAAATCAAAACCTCCAGGGTATTTTTTGGTAATTTATCTTCTTCAAGGAAGCTTCTAAATAGTTTTGATGGTCATTCAATTTGGGAATCACCTGTACAATCAACTAAGAATCAAAAGATATGTCTTATATTCTACTCCTGGTTCTAATCATTTGGATGTTTAGCTACTTTGGTTTCCTTATCTGCAAAAATTAAGAAATTAGAATGGATTTCAAGATCTGCTTAGTTCCAATGTGTTATAAAGACGTGTCCTTGTAAGAAGAGATTAGGACACAGGAAAAACTATGAGACTAAGGGAGAAGACGACCATCTACAAGCCAAGGAGAGGCCACAGAAGAAACTAAACCTGCTGAAACCTTGATCTTGGCCTTTTAGCCTCTAAAACTGTGAGAAAATAAATTTCTGTTGTTTAAGCCACTCTGTACTATTTGTTATGGCAGCCCCAGCAAACTAATTCAATTTGGGATGTCTAAAAATAAGCAGAATCTTAAAGTTTGCTATCAGTTAGCGACCTACTTCTTTAAAATCAACTGTGATTTCAAGTGTGTCAACAGATTCACAAGATTACAAAAGATCTATCTAATTTACATCTTTTTCCAAGGATCTTAAAATTAAGTTAGTCCAAATAAAGGAGAAAACAAGATTCTAAAGAATTCCAATTTGCTACCATTTTAAAATGTTGAGTGAAATCTTACATTCGATAAGAAAATACAGTGCTTCATATATAACAAAAACAAAAAGGACTCTTAAGAAAAGAAAAAAAAAGGACTCCTGAGGATAGTGAGGCAAAGTGGCTGGACTGCAATGAAATGAAAAGAAATGTACAAGGGAGACAGAAACAACCACAAAAACTGCAGAAAATAAAATTGCCAAAGACCATAGAATGGCGCTAGAGCTTAAATGATAGATATTAGAAAATATTTGCCATGACATAAAAGGTGATCTAGCAGTTTTAAAGAGAACCAAACAGAAATTCTAGGACAACCACAATTAAAAAAAAAATCAATGCATGCAATAGTAAGTACATAGGAAACAGATGAAGGTAAGTAAACTAGAATATGGGTTAGAAGAAATTATACAGAAAAAGCATGACAAGACAAAAACAATAGGAAAATATAAAGGAGAGGGTGATAAATATGAAAAGCAGAGTAGGTCGGCCATTGCTGAGTGACAAGCCCACAGAAAAAAAGAGAATGGTAAAAGAGGTAACATGTGAAGGAGAAATAGCTGGGATTTTCTAAGAACTAACAAAAGACACAAATCTAGATCCAAAGAGCTGGAAAAAAACCCCCAAAACAGGATTAATAAAAGAAGTCTATACCCAGGCATATAATAAAACTGCATAAAAGGATTACCTTAAAGAGATTTCTTTAAAGACCCAGTATTTAGCCTGATAGCTGACTAAAATATCTCCAAAATGCTGAAAGATAATAAACATCAAATTAGAATTTTACATTCAACAGAAATACCTTTGCAGAACGAGGAAAAAAGTTTTTTCATACAAAAAAAATCAGGAGCATGCGTGCCACAGTGAACTCTCACAAAATAAAATTCTGAAAAAAATATTTCCGGTAGAAATTTATCCCAGATGGTAAGCCTGAGTTACAAAAAAGAGTAAAGAGCAAAGAAAGTGATATATGTGTCGGTAAACATAAATACTGATTCTATAAGCAAAATAATAAAGTCATGGAATTAAAAGACATGAAAACAGAATTAAAATACATAACACAGCCCAGCTGGGCGTGGCTCAGCGGTTGAGCATTGACCTAGGATCCATGAGATCGGGGTTCGATTCCCAATCAGGGCATGTGCCCGGGTTGCGGGCGAGGCAGCCGATCAATGACTCTCTCATCATTGATGTTTCTCTCCCCCCCCCCCT